TTTTATCAATGTTTGTTTGTTTTTGTTATCTATGCTCCATCTGAAAAATATAATGTGTATTCTTATCTACAAGACTTAACAAGAAAACCTAAAAAGGGTAGCTTTTGTAGTTTTTAGTAGATAGCGCTCTTGTAAGGCTCAAAGGTCTTTACTAGAATTAGAAGAGAAGCCACACAACTATTCGGTTAATAGGTTTCTATTTATTAAACAGGCTTCATCACTTAAAGACAAAATTATGTCTACAGATATCTTCTACCTGTCAAAAGCTTTGATGATTTTGAAACAGTCTAAAGAAAATAATGTATAATATCTTTGTAAAAATTAGAATAATTATACAATAAACAATTGCTATACAATGTAATACACTACTTGGCATATACTTTATATATCTTATTGAATATATGATTTATCAAATTTTCTTTAAATTCACAATGATTGGACAAAATTTGAGATATGACAAACTTGATCCTTCTCTAATGTTTTCATTTCCTCAGGTCTCAAGTTGTGTGAGCCAATGTGGTAGCAAAATTGGAAAATATTCTTCAAAAGTGCTTGAGGGGATTGGAATGGTCGGTCAATATCGGACAACAACATGTCAAAGTGTCCATCTGACAGTCCATGCTCTGACTTCAATGGGTCAACTGACCAAAATTTTGTAGAAGGTGAAAAATGGCATTGAATTCTTGCCAGGCATAAATGGCCAAATAATAAAATCTCTCAAAAAATATTACAACTTATATGATAGGATAAATGAATTAGAATGATTGGTCTCACTATTCCTAATTTCACGGATCCTTAACTATATCACACTGTACAATAGAGACTGACCAACAGCACTGACCACAACCTCAGGATGTTGACCGTGACCCTTATATGACCACTATTTTGACCATCTAGTCGATTCAAGATATGAAAAATGTCCCTCTAAAAAGCAAGCCTGACTAAAGTTATCTTCAAAAGTTTATTTTAGAAGCTTTAGTCTGCCATAATAAAAGGTCAACACAATAAGTTAACTCCACAATCACAACAGGTTTAATGGATGTTTTTGTCCAAGATATTTTCGTAATCTACAATCAAAGAGGGTATATTTGGTTGACCCAATTACATGGATGAGGGTGGCTTTTACACTACACATCTAAGAAATAGGGGAAATATACAATCTGGTACTGGGTGGAAAAAAGAAAAAAAAAAGTACACATACTTTAATTATATTATCTGTACACTACATACTGTATGAATTCAATTTGTGAATGTCACCTTCAAGTGGCTTAACTGTAGAAAATACATGAGCTCTAAAATTGTAGGTCAATGAGAACACTACATTTTGTTTGTGTTAACTCCATCTTCTTTCTGTAGTGACTGAGGCTCATATTATAAAAAAAAAAATCAAGTGTTTTTATTCACAAGATAAACAGTCTAACATCAACATGTATGGACAATACCAAATTTATGTAGCACCATGGTGTGGAAAATTGCATTTTTATCTTAATATCTTGAAGATCAAAATGTCTCTAGCAAAAACTTCTTAAAAGATTCTTAAGGGATAGAGTAACTCTGGTTTGTTGCCATGATTATTTGTAATTCCCAAAGAGTAAATAGTGCTAGACTTTATTCTAATTCATAAGTAATAAGGAGGCCCCTCACAATCCATGATCATGCTTTTTAGATTACAGCCTGGTAAGCAGGAATATAAAAAATATCCTCAAGTAATCAACAAACCCAATTTGAAACACATGGTTTTTATTCCTAATATAAGAAGTCATATCAATAAAAGCAATCATTAATGCATTAAACATCTTATAAATGAATGTTCACATCATGTTAAAGTAATTAGTAATTGTTCAAGTCCCCAAATTATGATTGACATGTCTAATACTCAATAAGACAATAATAATAGGGATAGAGGGGAACTGGGTGAATATTGAAAAAAGAAAATAGACACAACAAAGAAATAGTTGATTTAAAAATCCTTGTAATATCATTCACTTATTCAAAATATGATTATATTATCTCTGATTTTAATCATCCATTTCCACCGAAAACAGGGAAGATAGAATAAAACGAAATAACAGTAACTCATTTTTTTTTTTTTACATCAGCCTAATAACTAAGATAAATCTAGAATGTAACTTCAACATGATAAAATTTATAACTTAAATGGTTTGATTAAGACTTCAACAGACCTAGATTCAATATGCCGGAATATTTCAACTATAACAGGAATCTGCCATTCTAAAGACAGAGTGTGAGAACTCAAGAAATGTGGGAACGGATACTAAATAAAGTCAGTGAAAGTTCACCAAACGGCACGTTTCCACAGATATAGGAATAACATCTTACCTATATGCATCGTATGAGGGTTCAAAGTAACCACATGTCTGTATTGAAATCACAGAGAGACTTTACTTTTAAGTAACGATACTGAACTGCACATGTATGTTTCTAACTTGAAATATTTTGAAAAACACAAAAATGTTAATTGTCCAACAGGAACTTCGTAACAATTTTAAATGTGTTATAAGGTTCAGATTTAACTCATAAACAATACTGCATCTTGTTAATGCTTTACAAATCATATTTGTTGCAGAAATGCTAAATGGCAATAGGTCTTTAGCCGGAACATTTGGACACTTTTGATTTCCTGGGAGGATGAGGTGGAAATAGGATGGATTCCCACAAGAAATTAAATATTTCCTGAACATCTCCTTAAACACTATAACCCTGAAAAATCAAATTATCATGCTCTGCAAGCATCTCTATTTCTCTTGAAATATAACTATGTATGATTAATTGTTCTATTGTATTCGTAGCAAGTCAATTGCATACTTCAGGTGGGCCTAAAGTGTGTGTCTGCACATATTAACAATTTTTTTTTTATGGGAGGAGGGGGGGGGGGGTGGTCGTGGTCTCAGCAAGTTTTTAACAGAAAATGGTCATTTAGAAGGAACAGGCTTCCATTTTCTATCTGACACAAACACAATGAGTATTTCACCATGAATAGAAGACAACCATCAGCATGACTTACCACTTAACTGATCATGTATCAAAATAAGACACTTTGGGGTGGGAAAAAGTTTTCATCCATGGCATTACCTAAAATAATGGTTACAAAATCACAGCTACTAATCACCAACCATGCGGAAGATATGTCTATATACTCGACAGGTGTATTCAGCCATGGGTGGATAGGCAGAAAAAAGAGAAAGAATAGAGGGGATATACCTACAAGAGAATGATGTAAAGCAAGAGAGAATAGAAAAGCATTAATCAAGGAGAAAGATGCACAAAAGAGATTCACAAAAGAAAAGAAAAGATTTGAGATTATGTACAGATGAAAGATAGTCCAATGTTCCATGCGAATGACTATATGTAGTATGAATCCAGAGAATGACTCATTTTCATTCAACCCAATTTAAATCTAACTTTCTTTTTAAAAGAAAGCACAGACAATAAAAATAACAAAACATGCTGCTAGCAGGAAAAGGATTGATCCTTTACTTTCCCATACTTTCCCATACTATCATAATTTCTAAAAATATATTTGAACTGATATTCTAACAGTTTGGAAAAACAAGTTAAGACTTAAGAGTATATCAATGACCAAAGTTGGTAAAAAAATACAGAAACTACTTGCTCCAAATGTTATATAAAATAGTTTTATACATTATCATAGAAGATTCTGGGGAATTTGTCTCTGGAATATACCATCTTGGACAAGTATATCTCAGACAAATACCCACGTAAGACAATTACCTCTTCACTTCTACCGTTCCCTTAAAATAATTTCTCCTCCAACAATTATCCTATTAAGAAAATCCCCCCCCCCCCCCCCATCTGATATTATCCACCATCCTGGATGGAAGATATCCATGAAGTTAGATGTGCTCCTCAAAACTTACATTCAAATTGTAATCAGCTTAGAATAACATTCTAAACAGTCAACCTTTAAGTTCATTATAGCAACAAATCACCTTAAGGGGAAAAAGCAGTGGAAGTTCATAATTTGCCAAAATAAATAGAGCTCCGAGTAGTCAGCATGAGTACTGACTAGAGGGCACTGCCGTTCACAACCATGATAAGTATACAGTCTTAATCAAGAAACTCTCTTTAAAGAATTCAAGGAGTTAATTTTTTCCCCTAGGAATGATGAATGATCATCTTTATTTTAAACATGGTAGTTAGTATTGCAGGATCTCCAGGTGAGTGACTACTAATTGGGGAATTTGAAGGCTGCTTCCTGTGATGAAATGACTAATATCGGTAGGTTAAAATATGAATGTTATCCAAGAAAATAAATGATGGATTAAAAACAACATTCTGGAGGATACATGAAGAACAATTGGTGTGAATAATAAAAGAACAGGAATTAAAAAAGAGACAATGCAAAGTAGACTGGAGTATGATGATGCAAACGTGAGGAGAAAACAGAGGACTATCCAAAGAGCTAGCACAAACATGTTGTGGGAGGCTGTGCATGCCAAACTTCAGGTGTGTATGAATACCCTCCTTGGCATTGACCAATGGTTGCACAATTGTAGAATGACCAACTGATCACCCTTGTGATGAGGATCTTTAAGAAACAAATCTGCTCAATACAGCCATAGACGTGACTGAATGATACAGATGACAGATCATCAAAGAGACCCACAGAGTTAATTTACGGTAGGCTGTTGTTATGGAATCCAAACAATATGGTTCTCAAGAACAACACCTTTACCTCCTTTACCACCTTAACCTCTTCCATTTGAAGAAGACATTTGAGGATCCAGAAGGAAAAAAATGACTAAAAACTGCAGCTTGTGTCCTCCTAACCCCTAGAGCTATATACTCTAGTCTTTGAAGGGCCTAAGCTATTGCTTCTTCACAAGAACGTACCTCCTTCATAAAGCACCCAATTGATGAGTCTTCCTTGGATAAAGATGTGACTGTCACCAAAGCACCCTCCCCCACTATTCTAGTCTTTGTAGGTTTAAGCAACATGCTTCATCACAAGAACTTACCTCCTTCGTATGGCACCCATTTGAAGAGTCTACCTTCGTAGAGGATATCATTGAATGAAGCGCACTGTTCAAGTCTGAAGTCTATCGCTCCCTCAGGACAGTCCTGGATCTGACATGACCTATAGTTCCTCTGGGGACCAACACATAGTCCTGGTCTGTAACAACAAAAAAGAACAGCTTGGATTGAGTTATAGATTCACTGATTGCATGATGGTGTATAGGTTGGGAAGTCAAACTGTTGATTGGTTTATCTCAACTTTATTTGACTGGTAGTCTGATTGATTTATCAATTTCATTTTTCAGAATTACTTTAAGAAAGGAGATGAAGATATGTAAGGTTGTTTAGAGTGATAAAGATATCTAAGAATAAACAATTTGTCAATATAACTAGAGATCAAATAGTTATGTTCAGACCAGCAATACAATTTTTTTATAAAATCGCATGATATTTACATGATCATTATCGGCTAAAAATGAATACAAAATCTGAATCAATCACAGAGTATAAAGCAAAACAGACAAAAAGGGATCTTAAGAGGTGTGTATGATTTCAACCATTGTTTTTCCAGTTTGGTTCAAATACATTACAAGAAATTTTACAGGGCCTTCACATTACGTGTAGTTCTAGGCTACCATAGTTTTTATTTGCTCTCATAATGGATTAAAAGAAGTCTAAAAATCACCACCACCCGGGTGTACTCTTTCTGTGGTTTCTTTGCTATGGTTGATTTCTCTTGCAGCACAAATCACATCATTGCCCAGGAACTGATGCATACCATCATATTGTCAATCAAATTGTCAACTAGACTTTAATCATCTAGTGATCCGTATACCCATTTCCAGACAATACTGGACCTACATAAGAAAACAGAAATGTTTCAAATAAAGCCAACAAACTCCCCTGTACATCTTTTTGCGTTGTCTTTTGTCCTTTGCATGTTTCTTTGTCAGATTTTCATGGGGGGTGGGGGGGGGTGGTATTTGTTATGGTTAAATAAAGCTAAAACAAGTTGGGATTTTGAGAAAAGCTCCAAGGTTTACCCCGATCAGGATTTCGCACAAAGTCAAGGTCGGAGGACCATGCAGCATCTGATACAACACATCCATCGTCGATTAAACTGTTATACCTCCCTCAAACAACCACACACTCAACATACATTTCAAGCATATTACTCCCACTCTTGCTTGCCCTGATTTTGACAGCCACAACACTATCACATCCATATTTATTTGTTTACATACACATGCAGTCAAGGTATCAATTCCAATTTTAGAGGTTGGTCTGGACAGCCATGGCAATTCCAGTGAAACAGCTGCCATTTTACAGACAGCTAGACTTGTTTGTATCCCAAAATGAGATCAACTTGAACTCCTTGCTCCAACTAAGCATATATATTTGAAAGGGAAGCTAACAAAAGAACCAATAAATCTCCAACAGGAACACTATATTCATCAATGAGATTAAATTTTGAGATAAAATGTTGAAATACTGACAATATATGCTTCATCACCCAGTAATGATACTCAAAGTACATAAAAATGGGGTTTTCAGGATACACATGGGACCACTGAATTTGCTATGGAATATAGGGCAAGCAATGCATTCAGTATAATTACTCTGTCATCAATCAATATTTCAGTATCATCACACAAACTTCAATCTAATTTTACAACAAGTACAAACTCTTCATACTGAACGGTAGCATACTTGATGTTGTAAACAATAAATTTGACCTAGATTTGTTTGTTCACTTGAACCTGCAGAATCTGTCACATTCTCAGTTTCTATGCATTTGCAGTTGAGAGGCAATGCTCCATGGATCTTGTAACTAGTGTTGATATTCTCACTCTTTACAGTAAGTTTGTCAAACTATTTCTTGCTATATTTTGAAAAGTAGAATTCTTTTAGGAAAGATGGATCCTGGATACATGGAAGAGGAGTCTGTTGAGGACGACACATCATCAGTACTTGTCAGCCACTATCACATGCCATCAGGTGATGACCATAAACAGAGGACTTGTGGGAGAGACAGCCATTGTATCTGAGCTACAAACAAATATTTAAAGGGGAATGTCATATTGTTCCACATAGGTAATCAAGTCACTTTACATAATTCTACTTTATCAAGACTTGTAGCTAATGTTATCTTTAAACATATTAAGTACATTTTTATATTCAATCATATTTTACCAGCATTTAATTTACATACAATTTTCAAGGGACATTTAGATACCTCACATTGTCAGTTGTATTCTGCAAAGTGTATTACACACATATATTACATAATAATAATAATAATAATAATAATAATAATAATAATAATAATAATAATCTTTTAAAGTCCACTCCAAATTTTATTAAGTTAAAACAAAAATGGAAACTCTTTTTGCCCAATTGATCATGAGCCCGGCAGCCACTGAGCAGTGCTAGATCAACGTTGCTCTATCCCTTATTGTTGAACGCCAAACAAGGTAGCAGCAACTCCCGTCTTTTAACGTCTTTTGGTATGACGCTGCCGGGGTTTGAACCCACGACCTCCCGGTTGTGAGGCGGACGCTCTACTGACATGAGCCTACACATAATCACAACCCAAACAAAATCATACTAAGCTTTGAGAACTCTTTTATTCTTTTCATTTCACAGTTTTACAGATTTCAAACACTATGTGTGTCATCTAAATGGTTAACAAATGACACTTGACAGTCAAACTTAAGTTGTTCTCAGGTTCAATGGAATGCTGCAAGAAATGCAAGAAGGATCTGACTATAACAAGGTCATGGAAGACAGATAAAAGTTTTTCCTTTCGATTTCCATCGTTGGACAAGACTTCAAAACTGTCTATTTTGTATCATAGCATTCAGAATTTCATAGGAAACATTACAAATTATTTAGAGAAAACAAAATTTCAATGTACCTTGAGCTAACAGCCACTCAAATAATCTTCTGTGTCATATATTATCATATTTCATCATATTTAAAGTTAATCTATACCAATGCTAAAAGGGTTGTCATGAAGCTAATCAAGACTGGAAATATGTGATTTTGCCAAGCCATTGCATTGCACAAAGCAATCCTTCAGTCAATTAGTGCCTATTATAATGTGCAAAAGTGTATAAATGGCAAATGAGCACTGGACAGAGAGGTGAACAGAGCAACCAAACTGTTAAATTAGAATATAATAATAGTAAATTTAATACCTTCATGTCAGAAAACTTAATACTATTAATTCTATACATCTGCATGCTATTTCATCAAAGCTCAATAAATTATTCACAATCTATGAAGATACATCCTATTTCACTACATCTTATAACTAATTGAATACTGAGGTAGTTACACTGAGGGAAATGCATGATGTATTATGAGCATCAATGGGACAAGATAGATAATAGAGTTTTGAATAGGATGGGGTTCTAATAGGTTAAACAATCAGAACAATTTAACATATAAGCCACTCATCTGATGCGGTATCAAGCATTAGCACTTCCTGCAAAATCAATTATACCAAATTATATCACACCATGTGCAACCGCAGTAATAAAACCACATGTATTTATAAATAGAGTTCATCTCATCATGCATGGCTACTGTATAGGTCCGTGTTATGGCTAGGCTCTTCAGACCTGAGCTAAAAGGATTATAACCATTGTTAAGCCATGGTCAAGTGTAAAAGTCATCAGACTCTATGGACTTCATCTTACTAGGTTTGAACCAATCCCGACACTGCACCAACATCCTTTGTCAATGTATTAATCTAAATCTGCCACTCTCCACCCAGGTTTAGTAAGTTTACAAGTACAAGCAGCAAGAAATACCTTAGAATATCTGAGTGTCCTATTAGGGGAGCTGACTGAGGACAGATAATAACAAAGATATATCAAAAGAGCACTACAAATCTAATGTTACTATCACAATCTAAGTTGTCATGAACTTTAACAGTATCTGAGCACAGGTTGGGCAGTTCTAGCTCTCTCCATCCATAACCTTCTCTCCTCCTTTCTCTTCTATTTGTCATATTGCATCTTTCTCTCATCATAAGTCATTATTCTTCTTGTAATAATATTTTCCTTTTTATTCTCCATTTTCATTTCCCCTTCCAATATTCTAACTTTGGAATATATCTTCAGAATGAAATCATCCACACCTGATTTTCATTTTCATACACAAGAAGTATACAACACAATGAATTTTCTTCAGGAATATCAATCAACTTGATTTGGAAAGGGCACATCCCAGCTACTTCATCTTTAGGAAGTTTACATAATATAATATGAATGAGATATTCACACTAATTTGATTTACTGATGGAAATATATTGCATTGTATGTCCATTTCCTGTGATGTCTTGTTCATTATAAACAAACATCATTCAACCAAAACATATTTCCATGTTTTAAACCTGCATCTTTTGATCAGTGTGTCAATAGTGCTTCAAGACAACTTGGCATCTCAAACTGTTAAAAATACATTTGGATAATGAGTTAAACACTGTTTTGCAGTTCCCTAATATAATAGATATGCCATTAATGGTCCTAAATTGTTTGGACTTTGTATGTCTGGCATAACATGAAAAGGCTACAAGTTGACATCCCAGTAACTAAATATGCATTGTATTTTCCAGCTTATCTATAATCCTGTTACCAATAAAAATGTAACAGAATCAGCTATTGACACAGAATATTTACATGTCCATTCAGGACAATAATGTTGAAGAGAATGGCTTCATAACAAATGAAGTATAATTTCCTCTTTAATCAGTATTCTGGCTTCAGCTGCCAGCAAAGTATTGCACATTCAGTCTGGCTTCAAGGTAATTTGCTTCCTGTTATGTACCCTATAAGGTGTAACTTGTCAGTTGAGAGTCAGAAGGGAATTAACTCACATACTCTAACATTATGTTCAAGTTAATGTCATTCTCGCTTTCATTTGAAATGATTTTCTCAGTGATTTCAAGCTGTATTCTCCAACCAAGACTAGATAGACCACATGTGATATACAAAGCTACCTTTGATTGTAAATCTCTTCTGCCCAGCTTCTCACAACTGGTAGACTACCACAAAAGGAATAGAAAATCAGAAAAAGATTTGCTGTTCTATATTCACATTTTCCCCGTTTATCATATGTAACTGTATCTATTATTGCTCCTAGATGATA